ATGCCACTCGCATAAGGAGTGAAAAATGAGGGAATCTTATCGATGAAAATCCTCAAAATCCCTATAGGAGATCATTTGAGTCGAGAGAAAGTAAAAAATGAGAGATTCTTATTGGTGAAAACCCTCAGGGCACCGTAAGACGATAGTGGGTGAGAGATAAGAAAAAAAAGAACTTGTTAGTGAAAACCTTTCGAGGCACCACCAGTCAAGTGTTAGTCATAAATCTAGTGCAAAAGTTGGATTATAGAAGTCTGACTTCAAAGTTGAAAGTTTGACAAAGATAAAGTTGAGATTGATTGGACAGACCAGACCATTTAATCCAAAAAGCATGTCATGATCATTACAATTGACCACCACTATCAATGAAATCCATTTATTTTTATTTATTTATTTATTTTTATTTTTCTTCTTAAAAGGATCAAATATTATTTCTTCTTATTTTACGTCTCGCTCAATTCAATCTTGAGATAGTCTTCATTAAGCAGGCAGAAAATGATTTCAAAATTGCTACCATCTCTTCAATCGTACAAAACAAAGCTTGATTAGCCCATCAATCGTGACATAATTCAAGAAATAGTGATATGCATAGTAACTTGTCAGCAATTGACAATTTTTTAATACAAGGTTCAATTATTGTTGGAGGGTTGGAAACAATATAACAAATTTGAAGTTGGAAGTTCTGAACAACTAGAGATGTTTTCAAGATTATCAAGGTGAGCTGACTAGCAAACGAAAGCAGTCAATTTCAAGCTAAAATTAGCTTCAAACATGGCAACAACAGGAGCAACTATCCTCAAAGCCAATGCCACAAATCGACCACCATTAAAAAAAAAAAAAAACATAAACTTTCCTTTTTTTTCTTTTCTAAAACAGGGAAATATTCCTTACATAAAAGATATCTTGAAGACCTAAATTTGTTGCAAAAAAATAATAATAAAAAAAAAAAATAAAAAAAAATTATTGCATTGTTTCTCCTATGATAAACGTTTTCTAGTGTGAGACAATTATTTTTATTTATTTTTTATTTCTTTACTAGGATAAACATTTCCTAATATAAGACATTTAAAAACAAAAAAAAAGGGATAAAATATTGTGGTGATTTTATTTGATGATTCTGTTAATTGAGATATTCCTACATAATGGGATTTAGATTAGCAGGACC